GGGCTCAGAGTCTCTGGGGAGGAATCCCTGGCTTGGGGGCTGGGTGGCCCCTCACAGTCTCAAAAGAGAAAGGGTGACCCTTTGGTCTCCAGGAAGAAGAAGAAGCGGCATTGTAGCCAATAGGGGCTTCCGGGCAGGTTTTCTGGTGCCAGTCCCCAAGGGTGGGGGTCTGGCATTCGATGCCCCAAAGCAGTCAAAAGCTTCTTCCTCCCCAACGCTGATCTTGCTGGGCCTTAGCTTTGGAGGGTAGGGGAGGGAGGGGAGGGGAGGGAGAGGGTGGCTGAATGGGGAGGGCAGGGAGGGAGGGGAGAGGAGGGAGAGTGTGGCTGAATGGGTAGGGCAGGGAGGGAGGGGAGAGGAGGGAGAGGGTGGCTGAATGGGGGAGGGCAGGAAGGGAGGTCCTGGGGGGAAGGGGGGGGGGGGTGGGAAGCAGTGCCTTGGGGGTCTTATGTGTAAATGTGAATAAATGTAGTTGTGTTGGAAAATGCTCTCAGGGCTGCTGCCTCTGTCCTCGGGACTGTGCTGCTCCGTGGAGGGTATCTGTGAGGGTGGGCAGAGGAACTGGGAGATGCCAGGCACTGGGAACCCACAGGGGCTGGCCCCACTTTTTCCCCCTGGTGTGGGGAGCCCCTTCAGTTGCTCCAGGGACTGACAGATGCCAAGAAAGCCCTGATCCCTCCCACCACCCACTCATAAAGCCCTGCCTGCATTCGGGAGGCTTCTTGGAACCTCCCATCGTTATCAGTATCCCCAGAAAATCCTGGGATTAGGGAGACCTGGCTGGCTCTTGTTCTGCTCAGTGGGAGCTGAGGAGAAGGCAGCCGCCTGCAACATGAACATGGGGAGAGGCAGCTGCTCCTGCTTAATCCTCATCAGGAAGAGCACGGGCACTGGGCCGAGTGGAGACGTTGAGGTGACCGTCCACATGGGTGTGTTTGGGATACAACGATGGATGGGGAGCAGGGGAAGTCCCTTTGCCTGTTTCTGGGCAGGAGAGAGTCTTGTCCAACTAGCTGAAGCAGATGCTCCTTGCTGTGGCCACAGGGACTGGCCTCAGGGGCCCTCAGGGTCCTCCATGGAGCCCCCCACAGCTATGATTCCCTTCCCGTATGATGACTGAACTTGTGTGGAATTGATGTCAACACAGATTTACCTTGGTATCTAAGACGGTTCCCTCCCAGTACACCATCATCAATGGGGACAAGCATGACCAGCCCACCAGGCACAGGGTGGGTATCTGCTAGTTCCAGGACCAGGGGAACTGGGGCCCAGGCTGAGAGGGGTTGAGGGTCAGCCACCCTTCTGCCAGGCACAGACCCCAAGGGCAGAGCAGGGCCTGCCTGGGATGTGGCATTGGCTGTCTGGGAAGTGCCCTGGGAGTCGGGGGCTAGGTGTTCGCTGAAGGGAGACTTCCAGAGTCTGTGAGTGAGATGAGGACTACATCAGGAGAGGGACTGAGGCTGGGGAGGACACTCTGCTCTTTCCCAGGTTGTCCTGTCCTCCCAGTCTCTGCTGAACTCCCCTCACCCCAGAGCCAACTTCTGCCCCCCTTACCCCTAACCCACCTCTTAGAATCTCAGATCCCAGCATGGACAGGACCCAGCACCCGCCCTGGTTCCCTCCTGGCCAACACCTTCTTCTCCACAGTCTGAGTTCTGATTCCTCCACCACGGCCCTTTTTGGCTCAGGACCCCTATGATTGCCAGGGCACTGGTCCCAGCACTGCCTGCATGCAGAGCTGTGGTCATGGCGCTGGGGGCTGGCCCAGCAGCAGAGGCTGGTGGGGCAAAATGGTCCGGCACACAGTGGCCTGGCCCCTCAGTCAAGTGACAAAGGGAGCCATGTTTGGGTCCTCTCTGGCCCCCTCTACCCACAGAACACAGCAGTCAGCCAGACAGATGCCCCTCTGCCCCCTCCCCTCTGTTCGACGTGGGCAGTGTTGGAGGCCTGCTGTCCTCTGTGGCCTTTAGGAAGGAGAGTTTATCTTGGCAGGGCTTCCCCAGCTCAGTGCACATCAGGCCCTCGGGGAAAATGTGGGGAGTGAAGAGTCACTGGTGGGTGATGTGGGCAGCTCCCGTGACTCCTCTACATTCAGGGCCATCCTCAGGAGATAAGGTAGCACTGCCCCTTTGCAGGAGTTAGGAATGTTAAATGAGCCTTGTTTGAAGGGAACATGGTCCATACTCTGGTGTGTGTGGGTGCCCAGCCAACTTCCTCACCTAAGGGTGAAATGACACCCTGGGGCTCCTGCTGGTTACCCCACTGGCTGTTGTCTATCCCACAGTCCCTGTCCTTGTTTTGGCTGAACCATTCCTCGGAGGCAGAGCTTGTGCTTCCTCCACCTCTGTGTCCCACCTGAGCCCTACAATCTGCCCCTAAACGGGCACAGTGGGTGGGGCTGACTGGGGGCTCTGGCAGACTGAACACACGTCACCCCCCTACCCCCCGCCCAGTTCCTGTGTTGAAGCCCTAACCCCCAACGTGATGGTATTTGGAGATGTGACCTTTGGGAGTTATTCAGGGTTAGAAGAGACCATGAGGGTGGGGCCCTAAAGATGGGATTAGGGCCCTGGTAAGAAGCAGAGACCCCAGAGCTCACTCTCTCCCTGACACGAGGACACAGTGAGAAGGCGGCCATCTGCAAGCCAGGAAGAGAGCCCTCACCAGGATCTCACCACACTGGGACGCTAACCTCGGACCTCCATTCTCCAGACTGTGACAAATACATTTGTTTTTTTAATATGCGGCACCACCCCCAAGTCTATGGCACTTTATCCTAGCAGCCCTATGTGACTAGGACAAGGTCCATAATCTCAAGAAGTTCCTTCCTGACTGGTATCTGGAAACCGTGCATCAGAGCCACGGGAAAGAAAGGCTTGGCCCTTTGCGACTGTCAGTGCACCTCCACCCCAAGTGCAGTGTATCACACATGAACCAGGAGAGCCTGGGACGCAGTGAAAGGGAATCTGTAAATACCCATGATGTCGTCACATCCACGCTTGGGGAAGCCATACAGCTTGCTCACAGTGGGTGCTGGGGGTGTGCTGAAGCTCTCGGTCTACTTGGTCTCCCTGCTTACGCACCCAGGTCACAATCTGGGAGCCAGTGCAGCTGGTGCTGCCCCAGGCCAGTTTGTCTCCAGAGACCCCTCCGTTCACCACTGGGTAACAGATCCCTGAAGAAGCCATGGCCTCCTGGGAAACTCCATCTGACACCATGAGTAAGGCCGGCCCCCGTTAGTGAGCATGCTGTGCTTTCTGACAGCTGCCAGGATGGACTTGATCCAAGTGGCTGCCCTTTTGTAGCTCACTTGGATTCTAACTTCAGTGTCACATGATGCCCTATGAATGGAACATACAATATGTGTCTTTCATATCTGTCTTCTTTCACTTAGAATAATATTTCCAAGGTCATCCACATTTTTTGTATGTATCATTACATCAAACCTATTTGTTGCTGAATAATATTCCATTAATGGATATACTAAAATTTATCCATTTATCAGTTAAGAACATTTGAGTTGTTTTCACTTTTTGGCTATTGTGAATTATACTTCTCAGAACATTTGTGTACAAGGTTTTCTGGGGATGTATGCTTCCATTTCTCATGGCTACATACCTAAGAGTGAAATTGATGGGCCATATGGAACCTCTATGTTTAACCATTTCAGAAGGTGCCAGACTGTTTCCAGTGTACATGAACCATTTTATATACCCACTAGCTGTGTGAGGGTCCCAGCATCTCTCCATATTCCAGCCAACATTTACTATCAACTCTCTTTTTGATAAAGTCATCCTAGTGGTTATGAAGCTGCATCTCATCATAGTTGCATTTGTGTTTCCATGATGTTGAACCTCTTTCATGTACCTATTTGCCACTTGTATATCTTCTTTGGAGCAATGTTACTCAACACTTAGTAATTTTTAACCGGTTTGTGTTTTGTCATTGAGTTGTAAGAATTCTTTATATATTCCAGATAAAAATGCTTTACAAGATATAATTTGCAGAAATATTCTCCCATTCTATGGGTTGTCCTTTACTTTCTTGATGGTACTCTTTGAGGCACAAATGTTTTTACTTTGGATGAAGTCCATTTTATCTATTTTTTCTTTTGTTACTTGTGGTTTTGATGTCATGTTTAAGAAACCATTAACTAGTCCTAGGTCATGAAATTTATTCCTATGCCTTTTCCTTTTTTTTTTTTTTTTTGACATAAGAACAGTTTTATTTTAATCACTTAACACTTGTGCATTATTCAATTTTGAGATTGAAATACTTGCTTCCCTTTCAACTGATCAGGAAATGGTCTGAGTTGGCAGAAGTTAATCCTCACATTATTCAGCTAATGAGACACAGAACCCTAAAACCTGATTCCAACTTCCGCCTGAACCTCACAATGCAAAGCAAAGCCTTTCATTTTAATGTTGTACAAGTATAAGGACAATGTAATCTGGATTAACTTTAGGTAACAATAACTTAAGATAGGAAAATGTATCATATTACAGACATTTAAAAATTGACTATACAATAAATGAAGAAGAAAACTAACAATAGAACAGGACAATGTTCAAATAGCGAATACAATGAACAAATGGGGCCAAAAGATCAACATTTATCTCTCATCATCTTTCTTGCAATGTCTCAGCTTTCTTCTCCCAAACATAAAGGCAAATTAATTCAAAGTAGCCCTATTAAGAATATTTGTTTATCATGCCTGTAATCCCAGCACTTTGGGAGGCCCAGGTGGGCGGATCACCTGAGGTCAGGAGTTTAAGACCAGCCTGACCAATATAGTGAAACTCCGTCTCTACTAAAAATACAAAAATTAGCCAGGTGTGGTGGCACATACCTGCAGTTCCAGCTACTCAGGAGGCTGAGACAGGAGAATTGCTTGAACCCAGGAGGCGGAGGTTACAGTGAGCTGAAATCGCACTACTGCACTCTAGCCTGGGCAACAGAGCAAGACTCCGTCTCAAAAAAAAAAAAAAAAAAAAAAAAAGACATAGTAAATATAAATGAATTAACTCACACAACCTACTTACAAACAAAACTAGAATAAACAACAACTTGTAGGAACCACCTCTAGTTGATTTCATCACTTAACAGGGGCAAGATCTTAGGTGGGTCACTTTGTTTAAGGATGACTTGAAATTTTACAGTACTACCTTAGATCCCACATATGAAAACTCTTCAAGAATTTTTTATCAACTAGAAGTTGAGGAAAATACAGTGAGAAATAAGATGAAATGGCTTCTTACACATATGAAGGCCCAGATCATGCCTAAATTCCTAATGATTTAACTTAAGAAGCTCCTTGTCCTGAGAGATTCCTTTAACCCACAACACTACTCAGATGGCACAGAGAATCTCAGGACACTACCCAAGCCACAGGATAAAAACACAACCTGTCTTCTATCTGGCACTAACAGACTAATATCTAGCTATACACGGGACTGACTTTAAAGTTGGTTAACGAGTATTTCAATCCATTAAAATAAAACTTAGAAATTACATGCTTAGTCTACACAAGTTTAACTTACTTTAGTCACTTAGTGAACTGTGAATTGGCTCCCATTAGTGGTCAGAATGCTTTGTATTTGGTGTAGAAACCAAATAAATCAAGCTATTATTACCTTGTGAGTACAAACAACGTTTATTTGTTTGTAAAGTGCCAGTTTTATATTTAAGTAAACATTAAAATGTGCGTTGAAGCAGTGAGGCTGCATCTTTCAATTGCCTGTGCTGGTTAAAAGACTGTTTAATCCTGCTGTGCCAAGCTCACTAAAGGGTCACCCCTCACTTTAAAGTCAAGACTGCCATTGTCACTGCTATGATAAGTCACAGCCAGCCAGGCCTGCTGGCAAAAGGTGATACTACCAGCACTATAAATAAACAGGACTGGTTGTGAGGTGCTTCGCGTCCCAGCCATCCTGTTCTGCTCTGTTGCTGTACTTCGCTGCGCCGCCACTATGCTCTCCGTCCGCATCCCGCTCGCGCCCATCACGAACCCGCAGCAGCTGCAGCTCTCGCCGCTGAAGGGGCTAAGCCTGGTCGACAAGGAGAACACGCCGCCAGCCCTGAGCGGGACCCGCGTCCTGGCCAGCAAGACCGCGAGGAGGATCTTCCAGGAGCCCGCGGAGCCGAAAACTAAAGCAGCTGCCCCCGGCGTGGAGGATGAACCGCTGCTGAGAGAAAACCCCCGCCGCTTTGTCATCTTCCCCATCGAGTACCATGATATCTGGCAGATGTATAAGAAGGCGGAGGCTTCCTTCTGGACCACCGAGGAGGTGGACCTGTCCAAGGACATTCAGCACTGGGAATCCCTGAAGCCCGAGGAGAGATATTTTATATCCCATGTTCTGGCTTTCTTTGCAGCAAGCGATGGCATAGTAAATGAAAACTTGGTGGAGCGATTTAGCCAAGAAGTCCAGATTACAGAAGCCCGCTGTTTCTATGGCTTCCAAATTGCCATGGAAAACATACATTCTGAAATGTATAGTCTTCTTATTGACACTTACATAAAAGATCCCAAAGAAAGGGAATTTCTCTTCAATGCCATTGAAACGATGCCTTGTGTCAAGAAGAAGGCAGATTGGGCCTTGCGCTGGATTGGGGACAAAGAGGCTACCTATGGTGAACGTGTCGTAGCCTTTGCTGCAGTGGAAGGCATCTTCTTTTCCGGTTCTTTTGCATCGATATTCTGGCTCAAGAAACGAGGACTGATGCCTGGCCTCACATTTTCCAATGAACTTATCAGCAGAGATGAGGGTTTACACTGTGATTTTGCTTGCCTGATGTTCAAACACCTGGTACACAAACCATCAGAGGAGAGAGTAAGAGAAATAATTATCAATGCTGTTCGGATAGAACAGGAGTTCCTCACTGAGGCCTTGCCTGTGAAGCTCATTGGGATGAATTGCACTCTAATGAAGCAATACATTGAGTTTGTGGCAGACAGACTTATGCTGGAACTGGGTTTTAGCAAGGTTTTCAGAGTAGAGAACCCATTTGACTTTATGGAGAATATTTCACTGGAAGGAAAGACTAACTTCTTTGAGAAGAGAGTAGGCGAGTATCAGAGGATGGGAGTGATGTCAAGTCCAACAGAGAATTCTTTTACCTTGGATGCTGACTTCTAAATGAACTGAAGATATGCCCTTATTTTGCTGATTTTTTTTTCCATCTCATAAAGAAAATCAGCTGAAGTGTTACCAACTAGCCACACCGTGAATTGTCCATAATGTTCATTAACAGCATCTTTAAAACTGTGTAGCTACCTCACAGCCTTTTCCTTTTTTAAAAAACCATCTTAAACATTTTAAAGTGTACAATTTAGTAATGTTATGTGTATTCACATCATTGTGCAATTTAGATCTTTAGAAATATTTTATCTTTCACAACTGAAATTTTGTGCACATTAAATACTAATTTTCCCCCTACTCCCATCCCCAGCCCTGGCAACCACTACTTCACGTTTCTGTGATTTTGACTACCTTAAATACTTCATATGAAGGAAAGTACTTGTCCTTTTGTGATTAGCTTATTTCACTTAGAATAATGTTCTTGAGATTGATTCATGTTCTAACATGTGACATGATTTCCTTCTTTCTGTAGGCTGCTTAGTCTTCCATTGTATGTATATACCATATTTTATCCTTTCATCCACCAACGGACATTTGGATTGGATCTCTTGGCCATTGTGAATAATGCTGCAGTAGGGATTGTACTGAATTTGTAAATTGTTTCAGGTAATATGGACATTTTAACAATATTAAGTCTTCAAATCCACATGCATGGAGATGTCTTTTCTTTTATTTATATACTCTTTGTTTTCTTGTAGCATTGTTGTTTTGTAGCTTTTAGCATCCAAGTTGTTTGCCTCCTTGGTTAAGTTTGTTTCTAGGTATTTTGTTCTTTTTCATGCTATTATAAATAAAACTGTTGGTTTTTTTTTGTTTGTTTGTGTTCATTTCTATCTTTGTTTGTTTTTGTAGTAGAGACAGGATTTCACTATGTTGGCCAGGCTGGTCTCAAACTCCTGGCCTCAAGTGATCCACCTGCTTCAGCCTCCCAACATGTTGTGATTCCAAGTATAAGCTGCCGCACCTGGCCTGAAATTTTCTTCTTAATTTCCTTTCCATATTGGTCATTGCTAATGTATGGAACTGCAATGTATTTTTGTGTGATAATGTTGCATTTTTAACTTTGCTGAAATCATTTATTAGTTCTTACAGGTTTTTTGGTGGAATTTTAAGGTTTTCTACATATAAAACCATACAATCTGTAAATAGAAATAATTTTACTTCTTCCTTTCCAGTTGGAATGCCTTTTATATATCTTTTCCTTGTTTAATTGCTCTGGTCCAGTACTATGTTGAATAGAAGTGGCAAGAGTGGGCATCCTTAACTTTCTCCTGTACTTTGAGAAATAGCTTTGTCTTCCACTAGTAAACATAATGTTAGTTGTGGGCATTTCATGTAAGGCCTTTATTATGTGGTAGTATTTTCCTTTTGTTTCTAGTTTGCTGAGTGTTTTTCATCATGAAATGGTGTTGAATTTTGTTGAATGTTTTGTCTGAATCATGTGATTATTGTCTTTCATTATATTAATGTGGTACGTGACTTGATTGATTTTTGTATTTTGAATTATCCTTTGCATTCCAAGTATAAATCCAACTTGGTCATGATGTATAATCCTTTTTTTTTTTTTTTTTTTTTTCTTTGAGATGGAGTCTCACTCTGTCACCCAGGCTGGAGTGCAGTGGCGCAATCTCGGCTCACTGAAACATCCGCCTCCCAGATTCAAGTGATTCTCCTGCGTCAGCCTCCTGAGTAACTGGAATTACAGACACCTGCCACCACGCCTGGCTAATTTTTGTATTTTTAGTACAGACAGGGTTTCACCATCTTGGCCAAGCTGGTCTTGAATTCCTGACCTCATGATCCACTCACCTCGGCCTCCCAAAGTGCTGGGTTTACAGGCGTGAGCCACCGCGCCTGGCCTATAATCCTTTTAATGTGCTATTTAATTCTGTTCACTAAAGTTTTTTAGGATTTTTGCATCAATATTCACCTGATACATTGGTCTTTAGTTTTCTTGTGGCTTTGATTGTGGAATCAAGGTAATTAATCAAATAATTAAAATTGATATCCATAATTCCTAACTCTCCCCTGGCTCCTCCCGCTGACCTTGCCCCCATTTTGGGGATTCCACCTAATGAGAAAGGAGGCTGCCTTCATTCAGTTGCAGCTTCAGCACCTCTGACCTCTCACCCCTGCCCCATACCTCCTAGTCCCGCATCTTTCTCCTTTCAGCCTCCCTTCAGAAGGGAGCCTCCTACACCCATATGTGTGCTTTCCTCTCCTCCTCTTTCCTCCCCGACTCCTCTTCCAGCACCTTCCACTGGGATTCCTGCTGTCACCCATCAGCAGATGAATTCCACAGCAGCCATTTCCACTATCACAGCAAGGCTATCTGCCCACTAGCCTTGCAGCCTCCTTGAGCCCTCAACTCTTTGCTATGGACACGACTCCCACTATTAACGCTGCTGTTTTCAAATCTTCACCAAGCTCCAGAGTGAGCCCTCTCTTAATTCCCCAAATTCAGTGCACAGTAGAGGCACCTTGGAAAGACATCAGCCTCCGTCTGCCTAGCTACATTCATATTCTCCAGCCCCACCCCTCAGCCCACACTTGGGGCCCCCTGATAGGCAACAATGAAAAGCCTCTGTCCCCAGTGCCCCTATTTTTCTGAGCCTTCCCATCAGGGTTCCTCCAGGTACCTCCAGTTTAGGGATCAGCGCCTCTGCAACATCCTCCTCCAGAACAGATGGTGCGATGGGGACGGCACCATAAATGCTGCGACTGAACACAATTAGGGTCCCCATTCAGAAAGAGCACCCAAGGCCCACCTGGTACACACAGGTGGTATGATGGGGAACAAATAAGAAGCAAGTCTCCCTCCACATATGGTTCCCATGAATGGACATTGCTGCCTGAGGAAGGGGCTCAGTCCCTTGAAGTTAAATTTAAGCTGCTCTCTCCTTATACAAGCCAGAAACCCCAAACCTCAAAGTGAGTGTGTGTGTGAGTGTGTGTGTGTGTGTGTGTGTGAGTGCGTGTGTGTTGGAGGATGTGGGGCTGATGAACCCAATCAGAACCACAGTGTATTTGAGACACTCTCCTGTGGACAGAAGAAGTGCCAGCATGTGTCATCATCAACTGTGCCATCCCTGGCTTGACCGTTAATCTGGCTGACCAAAGTCCCCAGCCAGGTCCCCATTCTTTGAACTGGCAGGAGGCCCACTGCTATTTACAGGTGCCCCTCTTCCCCTTGCCTGTTCACTTTGATGGGCCCTTCTCTCTCCTGATTGTGTGTATTAAAACCTTATTTTTGTTGCTCTGCCTCTGCTCATGTGTCTATATATTTTGTAATATATATCTTATATTTTTATTAAATATATATTAATTATATGTAACCTTAACATTAGATATAAAGAATGTAGACATATAGATATCTTACAACCATAAAACCTAAAGAAACTTACAGATCAACAAATGTAGGGACCTCATAAAATTCAAATGACAATTTTAATGTAATGGAACAAAGGCAGAACAGTCACTCCCCTCCACCCTGAGAAAATGGCTCTCCCTGCCCACATGCCGACTCTCCTGAGATCTGCCTGTTGGCGGCATGCATTGCAGTAACTGGATGCTTCCACCACTTGTCCCTATGTAAGTTACACAGAGGCTTCCTTTGTACATCCTGCAATGAAGTCTTTTGGCCTTCACTTGGTGAGAACACAGTATTTCATATTAACTCCCTGTGCATTTTTAAAAATATATCTCTATAACAAAGAAAATGTCACTCCCTGGCACTAAAGAAATGTTAACTAGATAACAATGCAGACCTTGAGAGGATATGGAAGCTCTCTGCTAAGTCGATCATCCAAATGAACCAAAATATGTTGATCTTGATCGGTTACTCCACATCTCCAGCAATATGACCCTGTAGGCACCTGATCTCCTCCATTAACATTTTATTTACAAAATCAGGCTTCAGGCCAAAGCTGGTATGGTTTGCCGACCCCTGTTTTAGTAGAAGAGACATTCAACAACTAATTACACAAATAACAACCACTAAGTGCTATCAAGTAAAAGTTCCCAATGCTTAAAACCCTCTAAGAGTAGAGATTGAACCTATGCAGGTAGATCAGATTGCCCTGAGGGAGTGGGTCTTAGATTTAATGTAGTTAATTAGTCAGGTGAGGGCAAGACTACTCCAGACAGAGGAAAGCACCTGCGGAAAGGGCTGGGGCAGAAGACAGCCTGACAACCCAGTCTGAAAGAGGCTTATGGAGCGGGAGTAGGAAGAGCGAGGGCCAGCGCCTGTGAGCTCAGGCTGAAAACAGCAGGGAGGTCAGCTCCTGTGAGGTCCTATGGGTCTTGTGAGGGAATTGGGTCTCTATTTAAATATAGAGACTGTGGCACAAGAAGTAACATGCTCAAGGCTGTACAGCCTGCATAAGATGGAGCTGGAAGCCTCCTCTGTTCACCTCCAGACCCAACTTCTGTATTCTCTTTGTGTTCATTTTGGTTCTAGGCTTGCCCAGAGTCCTTACAAGTTTCCCTCCATGCAATTCCAAAATCTTTCAACAAAACAAAGAGGAAAGGAAATTTTGTCTGCACCTAGGCTATCCTATAGTGGAAGGCCTAGAGGACTGGGGAGAGCTGTGTTCCCGCTTCTCCTTTCCTCCATATATGGAGTCTTAGCAAAGCTTTCTCTGTCCTTGATGTCAAAGGAGCCTTCAGAATATCACCTGGGCTCCTCCTCTTGTGTTACCATGCCCTCTGGGTCTCGCCCTGCCTGCCTCTGCACTCTGTCCTCACTGCCTCACTTCCACGCTCCCCTTGGGGACACTTGCACAGCTTGCTGCCCCATGAATGCTCCACGTGCACTTTTCAGTTCCACGTTCCTCTGCTGGAAGAGCACGTGCCTCACCCGGCCCTTTTGTCTGGACACCTTCTTTTCTTTAAGAATCTACCCAGGAACAGCTTCTGATGCTTCTAGGCCTGCAGGAAGCCATCCCCGGCCCCTTCCTCACCCAGCCTGAGCGCTGTGCTTCCCTGCAGGGTCCACACAGTTCCCAGTGTGAATGGCTGACATCCCAAACTACTGTTCACCTCGGCCTCCCGCACTGCACCCTGAGCTTGTGAGCTCTGTGACAGCAAAGGGCTTATGCGAAGGGCATTTGGCACTTTCCACATGGAGGTTAACCCATT